TTTTGTGCCAGTACCATACTGTTTTGATCACTTTAGCTTTGTAATATAACTCAAAGACTGGAGTTGTGATACCTCCAGCTTTGCTTTTCATTTTCAAAATTGTTTTGACTATTCAGGGCCTTTTGTGGTTCCATATAAATTTTATGATTTTTTGTTCTAGTTCTGTGAAAAATAGTGTTGGTATTTTGATAGGGATTGTATTAAATGTGTAGGTTGCTCTATTTGTTCTTCCAGTCCATGAGCGTGGAGTGTCTTTCCATTTCTTTGTGTCACCTTCAATTTCTTTCATCAGTGTTTAATAGTTTTCGGAGTACAGGTCTTTCACCTCTTTGGTTAAGTTTATTCCTAGGCATCTTATTATTTTGGTACAATTATAAGTGGGATTGCTTTCTTAATTTCTCTTTCTGCTGCTTCATTATTAGTGTATAGAAATGCAACATACTTCTATGCACTGATTTTGTATCCCAACAGGTCCCATTCTTAAGTTACCCTGTGGCCCTATGGGATTTCGGACACTAGAAAGGTAGCTCTGCTGCCATCAAAGCATTGTTAATATTATTATTAGTTGAATAATAATTATAGCTATTTTTTGAACACTGATTTTGCCAGGCAGGATTAGTACTGGGCACTTTACATTGAGCAAAGCCTTGTGAATGACACTTTCAGGGAAATATGCTTAGATTTCCACTTTATAGATGAAAACTAAAGGCTCAGAGAGGTTCAGTAACATTGTTAGATGGTGACCTTGGGCCCTGTGGTATAATAGAAAAAGCATGAATTGATGCCAGACAGATTTGGGTTCAAATCCTGGGCTTTATCTCCACTATGTACCTTGGGCAAGTAATTTAACCTGTCTGAGCCTGTTTTCTCCTCTTACCATAGTTCTTCTTAGTGAAGGCTTCCACAATGTTTCCCTGTAGCACTTTGTACGTGACCGTGTCATTTAGCAGGCATCCCCACCAGAGTGTAAACTCTTGAAGGAAGAGGTCATGTTTTGTTTCCCTTTGAATTTCTAAGACCAAGAGTTGTACATATCAGGTGCTCTAAATGGCATGTGAATGAATAATGTGGGGCTTATGGTAATACCAATTAGGTTGATATGAAGGATAAATAACATATTGGAGCAGTAGGAAGTTTTAAGTTTGCGGTTGGACAGACTAAAATTCAAATTTCATCTTTGCCTCTTAGAAACTTAAGCAAATTACATTACATCTCAGAGTCTCAGATAAAACCCAAGATAATATTACCTACCATTCACAGTTGTAGTAAAAATGAATAACTCTCTCTCTCCCTCTCTAGATAGATAGACACACACACACACACATCACTGGTAAGTAGGAATCACTAATCAATGTTAGCTTTTATTATTAGTGCATATGAATGTAGTTGTATAGAGTGTTACACAAATACTCATTTAACAAACATTTATTGCCTACAATGCACCAGGTTTGGGGATGTGATAGTGAACAAGATAAATAAGGACCATTCTCTCCTAGAATTTACACTCTGGGACTGGATACGGGGGGGGTGCATCGGGGCACAGAGAATAATAATTCAGGTCTCAAGAGTGAGCCATCATTACCACCTTATTCACACCATTGACAGTTGGTCAACACTGAATATTTTTCATGCTGAGCTTTTATGGTCTTGGCTACAGGGTGAAGGATTTAAGTCCAGTATGTTAAAGCCTACTCTTCTAGATCCTTGAGGGCAAACACCAGGCTTACTCCTTTTGTACTCCATAATGCCTGGCAGGGTGCCTGGGCCTGAATAAATGTTTGGAATACCTTTGAACAGCTAAGTTTCCCTTCTTGAGGCCCTGCAACATGATGTAGCTCCACAGTTCTGGGTGTGAACACAAAAGCATTTTTCTTAAAGTGAGGGTAAGGTCATAGCTTATAATTACTTTTGGCTGAATCATAATCATAATCATAATAACTCTTTATTGTGAACTCATTATGGTCCAGGCACTGGCTGGGCAATTTGCACGTGCTATCTTGATGACGCTACCACCACTCTCAGGTACTATTTCTCCTTAAATTTACCCATAAGGAAATTGAAGCTCTCATTGTGTCCGTGTAACTTGACACACAGGCAAGAAGTGACTGTAGGCAGCAGGATAGCATAATAGGTGCTCAGCAGATGGTAGCAATTGTGGTGAATAGTGAATCTGGGTCTATTTGAGAGACTAAGACAGCTAAGAATCCCAAGGGTTTACCCAGTTCCAGCAGGTGAGTCAAAGGTCTTGTACATCTATGCTGTATTTTCAAGGGATATAGTTTATTCTGCATTCTATGAACAACATAGAGTTTTGGGCCCAATTAAGTAGAACATAGTTAAGTGCTTAGTTTGCTAAAAACTATTTCATTTTCACTGAGGACATTTAACAAGCAACTTGGTAATATTAAAGAACCAGAACTAGAGATGTCAGACTAGGAAGAGAGATAAAACAACCATTTGTAAAATTAAAAAATGCTTCTATTCATTATTATCTGGAATCTCTATTGGAGCTCCTAAAAATAACAAAACAGTAATAGTTCAAAATTTGGGCAGAATAACAGAACAATAATTAGAATAAATAGCACTGAGCATTTGTAAGGCAAAACAGCTTCATTAGTATATTTCTATGATGGATGGAAAGAATTGTGAGCTGGCATGTGCTGCAATTTGATTATGTAATATAATGCAAATGGATTTTATTTTTACATATTATGACACAATTCTGGACTAGCATAGCAGTCAGTGTTCTCCAAAGAAACAGAACCAGTGGGATGTGTATACACACACACACACACACACAGATTTATTAAGGAATTGGGTCATGTGCTTGTGGGGGCTGGAAAATTTGAAATTTGTGGGGCCAGCCAGCAGTCTGGAAATTCTGGCAGGTGTTAATGCTACAGTCGTGAATCCAAAGGCAATCTGGAGGCACAATTCCTCTCTCCTCAGAGGACTTCAGGTCTTCAATGGATTAGATGAGTCCCAGCCACATTATGGAGGACAATCTGCTTCAATTCAGTCTACCAGTTTCAATGTTAATGATATTTTTTCAAACATACCTTCACAGCAACGTCGACTGGTGTTTGATTAAGCAATTGGGCACCATAGCCTAGCCAACTTGACACATAAACTTAACCCTCACAACCAGTGTATTCAAGCAGGCTGGGAGGAGTACACCTGGACTAAATGGGCGGGAATAATAGGAAGAGACCATTTGTAGCACAAGTAGATTAAGTGAAGGACAGCAAGGGGCCTGGGTGTAACAGTTGTTGCTTTTAAAATTTGTTGTTTTAAAACGTCATGGCATTTAGCTTATTTAAATAAGAAATAATTGGTAAGTGGCAAATTTCCCTTGATTTCAGAGATATTATTAAAATAAGGCATTCCAGGACCTCTGAGATTGACGAATCAAAGGCTTCTATAGCGCTGATGACAGGGAGGAGGCTTGAGTGAAAATAACCCCAGCTCCCTGCGTGTGCCACAGCTGGGTGCTTCGGGGAAGCCAGCTTTACGTGTGACTGAGCTGCTGTGGGGCCCTCTTTCTAGTTGTCAAGGCGAAGGTTTAGCATCTTCTTTCAACATCCTGGTACTCCAAAGAAGAAATCGAGATGATTCACTAAAGGATCAGAGAGCAAGTAATTCAAAACAGAACACCAAACTGAAGTATAAAAAAGAAATATTTATCTTTGAAAAATACAACTTTGAACACACTACGGACATCTCATTTACAAAGTATTTTCCTGAAACACTCTTCATTGGCTTTGCTTACTAGTACATTCTTTTATTCTGAATCAAGACTCAAGGGAGGGCATGCTTGTGTTACTACAAGCACCAGCAACACCATAGAAGAAAAGATCATCTGTGCCTCAGGATATTAGCCCCAAATCCTCACCCTTTCTCTTTCGTTTCCATCAAGCAGGACTTCCTGACTGGTCCACGTACACTCTGCCATTGCAACCTGCTGGTGGGCACCATAGAACGGGAGGTGCCCCCGGCCATCGGCGCTCCAGGCGGAGCTGAGCTATTTGCAGGAAGCCTCACACACGTGGGCTCATTCATTACCAGGAGTTTTCTACTAATACTCGTATCAACTGTTTGCAAACATTCAGCTTGAAGTGAACATAGTATTTACAGCGGTACACGGTTTGCAATTCAACACGCTGATGGCAGAAGAAAAGGGACCAACAGACTTTGTAAGAAGGCCAGAGGGAAGGCATATTAGAACGAATCCCTTCTGCTAACGTGTGTGTACGTGCATGTGCACATGCGCACACGTGTGTTTTAATTCATAGAAAACTAAACATGCCCTCCTTTAAAAGCAGACTATTTACAAGGTGATTCTGAATAGCACATACACATGCCAGTCATACTGGACACTTGCCTTCTGCGAATACATCTAGATGTTTTTAATCTGATATATTAGAGAAAATAACTTCGGAACATTTGTCAACTTTTGGTTCACAGTAATTTTGCAAAAAGCCACAAACCATGCTTTGTCTTTTAAAAGGGGAGCCTGGTCAGGCGCCTTCTAGAAGACGCTGTGTTATTCATTTACTGGCTTACTGGGGATTGGAAAGACCGTGTCAGTTCACATTAATGTGAAGAGAAGTTTTGAAACACAAATCACATACAAATCATCGAAACATTTCAATTAACAGTGTTTAAAAAAATACCAAACTCTACGACAGTAGTACAGACACCGAAAACACCCCAAATACTCTTTAGCCTCAGGCCTTTTTCAATATCACTAATAAAAGAGACAAGCCACTGACAGAAAGGGAGCAAGTTACAGCGCTTGAGGGTCTGAGTCTGTGTCTTTTTAGGGCCTGTAGCTCGAGGTGCTGCTCTAGGATCCTTATTTTAACTCAAAAGATATTCCGGGAACGACCTGGCAAATTTAAAGCACTTCCCACTTGAAAACCATTGAGAATACAAATCACTCTCTCGGCGTGTCCACCGCACATTTCTCTGCAGGAGCCCAGGCTGTGAGGCCGCAGCATTCAGGTCAGTTTCAGGCCCTCGAAGCCGCAGAACTTCCACCTCTTCTCCAGACTGGCTCCGACCCCGGTCATTTCCTGCCTGAAGGTGTGCTGCAGCCGGCCCATGAGACACTCCACGTCGCTGGTGCAGATCTGCGGGCCAGAGAGAGGAGCTCCACTCAGAAGCAGTTCTACCCTGCAGACGAGTCCCCTGGGCTTCCCTTGTATGGGTTTTGTAATTGCTGTATGTAGGTAATAATTTACTTACAACAAATTCACCTACTCTATGTGTAGAGTTTAATGAATTTTAGTACATTTATACAATTGGGCAACTCTCACCACTATTTAGTTTTAGAACATTCCATCACCCACAGAAGGTTCCTTCACGCCCCTTTGTAGTCAATTGTTCCTCCCAATCCCTGACTCCGATTTTTTTGCTGTGGTTTTGAATTTTCTGGAAATTTTATATATGTGCAATCGTACGATATATATAGTCTTTTGTGACTAGTTTCTTTCACTTAGCATGACGTTTTGGGGATTGATCACCACCGAGCTTTCTAATGAAAAGAGCTAGTGTCAGTTGTGTGGACAGGCTTGGGTTCATAGCCAGCTGAATGACAGCTGGTCGGTGCCACTGCGCCTGTGCGCAGGCCTACTGAAGCTGCAAAGCCTTTTGGGAGGGGAGGGAGGCAGGGCAGAACTCTTCATACATGTGTTGCTTTACAAAGGAAAAATGACAGAAATAAGGAATGCCCTGTATTTCTACTTCTGTGCATCGTCTCCCTCTCCCCATTTCACTCACACACACACACACACACACACACACACACACCAACATAAAAACAAAAATCTGTGGACCCCTTTAGGACTTGTTTCAGGTGGTCATCTTGACATGAGTAGCAACCTTCCTAACTGTGAACCTGGGCACTAGGGCTCAACTGAGGAGCACTAGGGGATCCTGAGAGAAACCCTCAGTTGCCGCCACACTGAATGTTCCTGAAGCTGGAGGGAGGGACCCCTCCACCAATTCTGTTGGCATCATTGCAGGCTCTCTTTGGGAGGCCCTGTCACTACTCTGGCAGGAAGCTGCTCAGGACAAAATGGGCTGAGAGCAGGAGTGAGGTCATGCTTTCTTCCTACTGCTAGTAGTAGATGGTAGCCAGTTAAGTAAAAGATGCACATTGCAGGGTATCATATAGAGTTGAATTCCATTCTAAAAACCATAAATATACAATGTTTACAGATGTATACATATAATATAGGTGCAGCATACGTATGGAAAATGGTCTGAAAGAAGATATGCCAAACTGTTAACAGTGATGATCCTGGAAGGGTGGGGCTGGGTCACTTTCACTTTCCCTTCACTGTCTTTCTATCTTGCTTACATTTTTAACATAAAATGTATTTTTTTTTTTTTACAATTTTTGAAAAAAGGGCCAGATCATTTTTACTGACACAAAGTCCAATTTCATACCACTTCAACCTACCACTTGGTCCTGCTGCTCACATTCGATCCCTCCCTTTGCTGCCAAATGGGCTCTTTAATTGCGGAATGGTATCACTTTCAGAGCTCAATGAGAGGGGCGTGCTGGCTCGAACTAAAACAAATGCCATGAGAAGGATGTCTCACCGCAGCTGGATGCCCACATGGGCAAGTGCCTCTGTTAAGAGGACATATGCTTAAATGGCTTAACATTTTGGACATCCAACTATCAGGAATCTGCATTTCAGTGGCCACGTCTCAAAAGCCCCAGGTCCTGTGAAATAGTGAATACAATCCACAAGCACATTTAACTGAATGCGGCTTCTGAAATAAATCTATCCTGAGTTTATTTATTCTGAGGAGTCAAGAGTCCCCTCCTGCTTCTCTGAGGCATCCTTGACTTTCTAGGGAACTAATACTTACTCTTGCCCCTGAGGCTTTGTGAGGTCCCTCATAGAACAACATCCCAGGAAGGAAGTGACCCATGAGATCAGCTGGGAGCAGAAGTTGAGTCTATGTCACAGACTTACTGTTTCCTCTGTTTTGTTTTTGCTCTTGCCTTGATCATTTCAACATAGGTAATGGCAGTGGTGACAGTGACGGCTGGAGTAAGACTTCCAGTTTTGAACATTAACATTTGCTAATGGCTAAAGGCCTGGTACAAAAGTATGACTGGTGAGAGATAGTGGGTCATTTGCAGCTTAGATAGAAATTGAAAGAAAGGAGGAAAATTCTTCTCAGACGTATCTTGGAAGGAGGGTGGCCAACTCATTCAGGTTTGCCCAAAACTTCCTGGTTCTGGAACTGGAAGTCGCGAGTCCTGGGAAACCCCTCAGTACCAGGCAAACAGAAGCAGACGGTCATCCTACTTGCAAGAGAGAAGCTCTGCACTGCACTGCAGTGAGACTAGGTGAGGGAAATTTCCTTAGAGCAATTACTAACGACTTACTTATGCTTGAATTAAGTACCCTCCGTCCCTTTGCATGCCCATTTCAGCACCCCACGTACCTTATTATCTAGACGGTGCAAGTAGGAACAGATGTATTCAATGCTTGCTCCAAATGGGTGGACATGAAGAAATGTGGAAATAATCCCTACAGTGACAATACCATGGAGGTTACACTCGAGCATTATATTCTTTGAAATGAGAGCTAACTTACATGTACCACATACTACATACTGGGCACTATTCTAAGTTTATATACATTTTATTCATTTAATCTGTACAACAACCCACTGCATATACTGCCTCTCACTACACTGTACCCCATATAGAAACACTGGCATTGGAGGAGTCACTCCCATCATTTATGATGGCTAAAGACCATTTGAGTTCTACATTTCACAGTGAATTTAGAATTTTATAATGAATTTGGATTGTGCTGGCCTTTTGCAGTTCTTCTGCACAGTCTTTAAATTGGACCTGAGCTTCTTATGCATTAATAATGTCTTGCTGTTGTGGTAAAAGTACAAATCAGGTACTTTGCCTGATTCACTTCATGCCTCTCACAAGAGAACCTGCTGATTGTATTTGGTTTTACCCTGTGAGTAGCTCTGTAAAGAAAAGCTAAACATTTCACTCACTCAAGTGGTCACTAGCATTTGTTTGTGCTTAGAGCTCTAAATCTCTTCAAGTAACACATTTTTTTATAGAAGTTTACAGCCTCTGGGAATGGGCACAATTTTTACTCAGTTTATGGGGTGATTGGCAGCTATACATGCTGCCTTGATTGTTCTGGACATCAGGTTAATTGTTCTAATACTTCTTTCTCTGGCAACAGGTAGATCTTAAATTGTTCAAAGGCCTACTATTTCTTTCTTTAGATTTTTTTTGAATTCCTCCCCTTTCATAAGATCTTAAGTACATCAAATAGACCCAGAATTGAATTTGCCGAGAACTGCCAGGAAAAAAAAGCTAAATTTGATTTGGTTTATAGACTACAACTTGTCTATTCCTTCAAGTGACTGATAAAGAATATCACAAGTTTGAGTTGTAGCTTGAAGTTCAAATCAGTTCTTTGTGAAAATCCTCCAAATATCAGAGGGCAAGGAGGTGGGCTGGGGGATCTGGGAGGAGCTGATGGTAGAGTTCAAAATCTGTTCGAAATGGATGCTATTACTTATAACACTATGTGATTCTTAAATGACGAAGTAAATTGAATTGCTATACACTGACTCAAGCTGAGAAACTTAAATTCTAAAGAAGACAGCTCATGTCCAAAGGAATTCTAGGTGCTACGGCCAAGATAGGCTATCTGTCAAATGCCGAGAAATAAATCCTTAGGTTTCAAAACACTAAGCAGTTTCTGTGGGTTCACACCCGAAGAACCAATTTAAAAAATAGATTTTCCTTTCTCTCTGTCATTCTCTCTGTCACTACATTCTTTAAAAACAAAACAAGAAACACTTATCTTAAGAATCTTTGTTTCTAGAACTATCCATTCACAGAGGCTTCCTTCTACCCCCAGCTCTTCTCTGACAGGTCTCCCTGTTGCCATGCCAATTTGTTAAAGAACTTTGAGTTGTAAAATGGAAATAAGTTGTCACTTTTCTTTAAGACTCAATGGCAGATCCTCTTGTGCATCCTTATTAACATATCAAAGTGTTAAATCTGACTACAATATCCATTACCAAAGAAGGCAGATAAATCTTCAAAATATGCAGAAGCCAATCAGTGTGGAGAACTTCTGAGATTGGGGTGGGGCCGCTGTGGGGTTCAGCTTCCTAGAAGGCAGCTGGGATTATCTGTTGAGGCCCAGTATCAGCCCCTTGGAAATGACTGAATATTTTAGGACCTCAATCTGCCACTGTTCTCCAAATGGAATATCAAGTCAACAAACATTTGTGCAGAATACTCTTAAGTGCAAAACAGTTCTCATTTTACTGAGGGCTTCCTATGGGCTGCACACTGTGCTAAGGGATTCAGATGAATTATCTTATTTAATACTTGCAGCTGCCCTTTGAGACAGGTAATATCATTCTGCCCATTGTGCAGATGGAGGAACTGAAGCTCAGGAAGGAAATAGTAGGGTCAAACGGGAAACCAGGTCTGTCTGACTCCTCAACCTGTGTTCTATCTTGCCTCTGTGGATGATTTTTATATAATGAGAGCAATTCTAGCATTTATCTCGTCTAAGCCCACCAGTGTCACACACCACAGACAGCCTCCTGAGTTACCTGCCAGTAACCTGGAAAAAAATTTCAGAGAGGCATACACTTCCTCCAGAGGCTCATCTGGGAAAGCTCTCTGCCAAACAGTATCCTCACTATAACCTTGAGTGGGAGTGAGAGGGCTCCACTATCCTCACATAGAGATTTAAAAAATGTACAACGTATTTCTCCAGCAGACCCTCTCCTGTGCTTACAACCACACATTTGATGTGGCAGCAACCACAGGAGCTAGAGGAGAATTGGGAGCTGCTGTTACCATTTCTATGAAGTCTCTACTTATTCGTGCATTGTCATGCTTCATAAATGCCTGGCAGGTATATTCATCTTAGGTGAAACCCTTCCCCCCTCCACCATAGTCAATATATTATATGTGTGTGTTCCTTACCCACGAGCAGTGCTTCACGTTCAGATTTGATAGGACTGCTGTTCAGGGTCTTCTCAAGAGGATAGTCACTGTCCTGGCTCGATGTACACAGTCTAGTAGCACAGCTTTCCTGTGGGAAAAATATGCTTCCTGGGTCATTTCACCTTACTGCGTAACAGACTTGGATTTGATTACACAACAGGGAACTTTTTAACGTAGTACCCCAAAAGCAATAGCGTACAATTTTGATGACTGAATGGGAGAGAAAATAGCATTAATTTATGCAAAAGCATCACAGATCATCCAAAACTTGTTTATATGGCTCCAAAACACAGAAAAATTTAGACATTCATCTTTGCCAGGTTTTTTTTCCCCCCACCTTCATCATTCTTGACTCTGTAGAGGTAATCTGGGGAACCAGACCCAACATTTACTGCCTACTAGGTGCCAGGCACTGTTAGGTATGTGTTATCTCCATTCTACAAATGAGGAAAGTGAGGCTCAGGTAAATTAGGTAAATTGCCTTAGATCACATTTCTAGGATGTGGTAGAGCCTCGATTTCACGCCAGGTCATCCACTGCCAAAAGGATTGTTCTTTTCAATTTTAGGTCCACACTCTGCTAAAGGCAGGTCCCATCTCTGAGTGCAGAATCTACAATGTAGCTAATCTACTCCCAAATAATCAACTGTTGGCTTTTGAACTAAAAATTAGAGCTTCCATTTATTGACTATCAGCTCTTTCTTCTCCCTGATAAGGACATTATCAGTTAGGATATTCCTGACTTCATATCAAGAAATGACCATGACCGGGCGCCTGGGTGGCTCAGTTGGTTAAGCGACTGCCTTCGGCTCAGGTCATGATCCTGGAGTCCCGGGATCGAGTCCCACATCAGGCTCCCTGCTCAGCAGGGAGTCTGCTTCTCCCTCTAACCCTCTTCCCTCTCGTGCTTTCTCTCATTCTCTCTCTCTTAATAAATAAATAAAATCTTTAAAAAAAAATAAATGACCATGACCAAAATATTACTCAGTGGCCTTCTTTGTTGTTGAAAGTTCTCTCTTTCTGAGCATAGCAGGTATGTTTCGTAAGAGATACTAAGGGGAAATTCATGACCAGCAATCAAACTGAAAAATACATCCAGGCCTTCCATGGATCTTTCTTTCTCTCTTTGGGCACTGAGAACATCTTTTCTGTATTACAAATGTGAAGGAAGAGTCTTGAAAAGAAGGAATAAAAGGAATCATTGCTTCCAGTCTTACTGCTATTAGAAAAGAAAATGCTCCTGGCAGGGGCATATCATGGCTGATTCAAATGCTTTGTCACTCTTCCCTTCCGCAAGCCCTCAGCACAGACAGGTGTCCTGTTTTCTTTAAAGATGACTTTAAAGCTTCCAGGATGTTGCCCTGAATGAAATGAATGGTCTATCCTGCAAGACATGTTGTTTTGTGGATTTACAGGCGTCCTGGCTATAGTCAGAAGGGAAGCCTTTCTTGATGACCTACTCAATCTTTGGCCTTTAGAATCCAATTCAGGCAGTAACCATCATGCCAAGTTTGATTCAAAATACTGGCTCACTTCTAAGCCATGGGTTGTACATCTCCTTCTAATGCCCTTAAAACATTAAATGATCCAGTAAGCCATTTCTTAAGTGCGAGAATTTAATAGATTGGGGTTGACTCAAGATGGAAAGGCATCCTGAGAAGTTTTAGCCATCTTGAAAAGAAATGTAGCCTTACTGAAACCTGACTTCAGTTTTATTATAGCTGGCATTTAAAAAATTAGAAGGCATATTGAAGAGATGTTTATCACCTTGAATTTTACTGGCAGATTCAAAGAGCTAGCTCTTTCTGCAGTAAGACAGACAGAAGTCACATTATTATATTGCAAAACACTGACAATAACTCACACTACAGTTTACTGTCAAGAAACCCAAACAAAAACAAAAGAGATCTCTCCTCACCAAAACTTATTGCCTTCCTTTCAACCTGGAATTATTTTTGCAGTCTAACATAATGGTACTTTGCTTCCTAACCTAATTGTGTCAGGCTGAAATATTTGGTCACAAATCAGATTCTGAGAGAATATCAGTTTATAATGAACTGTCATGACTTTTTCTGAAAGAAGCTTTGCTTACAGTAACAGGAAAAAAAATTCTGACTCACATTTTCCCGATTATCAGTTGGCTCTCCTTCCTTATCCTCTTTAGCTGCCACTTCATGGTATATTCAGGTTCAGCATGAAAAACAGACTAAGGCACAATACATTAAGTTTCTTCTGTGCCATTTGATCTCTTGCTTCTTTCAATGAAATTTAAAGTGCCAAAAATGCCCTTACACTAAAAATGCCCTTAAGTTAATTTGTGATGTCAATCCTAAAGAACGAATCTAAGCATAACGTCATTAGCATAACCTCATGTCTATTGCATTTTACGCAAGAAGCAAAACAGCTATGTAGCAGCTCTGAGACATTTTAGCAGCTCTGAAAGTATAGGGAAATTCCTACTACACAGAGCAGCTTTGGCACTTTTCAATTAAATGCTTGATAAATGAATTTCTCTGGGATTGTGCTCATTTCTTTAATAGCACCCACAAAAGTGGAAAGTGAGCTGGTTTTATGAAGTGGAAGAATTAAAAGCATATTGCAAATGGCCTCCAGAAGAAAACACTTTCAATCATTTGTTTCAACTACACCAAGGCTGCCAGTTCTTAATGGCACTCTGGGGGAAGTCACTATGCTGGCAAACATACCCAGGGCCTGTATGCATTGCATCTTCCTGAGCTGAGTGCCAGAGATAAAGAGCCCAAGCTCTTGTGTAACAATAGCATTGTTGATTTCTGGCTCTTGGTCTGAGCTCCTAATCTCTTCCTTCTGAGACATTAAAATCAGGCACTTACAGTCAATAATGGGTCTTCCTTTTCAGAGGACTGCTTCAGTTGAATGTTCAGGCATACAGACGATTAGGGAGGTACGGCTGGGAGACAGCATGGGTAGACTTTACATACCTTAAGTAGACTGGGCACCTGATTCATGCTTGTGACTCATTAACCTATCCAGATTAGGAGACTCCCTAGGAGGCCCTCACTGGTGGCCCTTATTGCTGCAAAGTCCCATCTTGCCCTTCCATGCTGCAGTCTTCAAGCATTAGAATATTCTTTCTTTTTATTTACTTTCCACATGTTTTCTCCCCTTTGGGTTTTGGCTATTTCACCTGCAGCTGCTCATTATTACACTAGGTGGAGTGTCTGCAAAGAAAAGCCCATGTTCTGGTTGTACTTGTGTTTCTTCCTTTAATGAAACGCTTTATTAAGGGTACTCTGTGTCACCCGCATTTTCTTTCTATTTTTTTCACTTGCATTTTCTATGTTGCTATTTGCTTGGCAAGATGAAGCGGGAATGAGGTGTACACGCTGGTCTTCTCCAAGAGGGAAAGCCTGAGGAATTTTAGGGATGGACTAACTTTGTATTCATTGAAAAGTACACTCTCCAGAATCCTTAGATATGCCAAGGATTCACATCTAAAGGCAGAGCCCCTGATTCAAGAATTACCCCAGAGAAGGGGCTTTTAATCCCCATTCAGTCAAGCATTCCACAGTGATGCCTACTGCAGGAACTTGCAGGGCATTTTCACTGCCACTGCAAAGGGTGGGGGGAAGGGCAAGGGTTCACAGAGGACTGATATACCTTTTCTTTAAGATTTTCCAACATTTTTTCCACCTGCAACTTGTCATCCTTGACTTTTTCAAGTTCAGCTTCTTTCCTTTTGTATTCCTCTTGGACTTTGAGTAGATGCTACAAGACAGACCAAAGACAATCAAGTCTTGAGGAGCCACAATTCATTTAAAAACCCTGGCTAAAGTTGGACAGTAGGCCGGCCTGCCTCACTTTCTCCCAGCCCACACAATCATTTCTCTGCGCAGAGATACCAAAGGGAAAATCAAGGTACTTTTTCACTTAAAGTTATTTTATCTAGTTCTTAAGAACTTCCTTAGGATTTGTTCATATTTTAGAAAGCATCTGAGAAATTAACTGATCTAATCACTTAACTTTTCTATTCCAGCCAGGGGTAAGGATAGGGTATAGTGCTAATCCCATGTGGACAATATCTTGATTGCTGCATAGAACTTAATGTTATAAAGCATTCTTTCAAATAGCCGTTTTCCAAGCCAAGTTCAATTTCTGTGAGGAAAACATTTCACAAATGTTTGTTTCCACATCAGTAGGCAAGGAACTGGATTCATCATCATTAACGATCACAAAAATATTACTTATTTAGCATCTAACATGTGTCACACATTGTGGATAAGATTTCATATGTGTGATCTCATATAAACCTCAAGTAACCCTATGATACATAATCCTGAGGCTTACAGAGGTTTAGTGCTTTGCCTTAGGCCATTCAGATAGTAAGTGGCAGAGTAGGGATTTAAACCCAGGTTGGGTCAACACCATAGTCCATGCTCTTAACCACTGTTAGACTATACTTCTTTTTGGGAGAAGATGGGAGACCCTTTATCTTGTTTACAAGGCTATTTTCCAATAAAAAGTAATCAAAAGGAGCAAAATTAATTTGTCAGGATGTAGAGACCTAATTTTCTCAGAGGTCTCTGAAGTGATGAAATGAAGAAAAAAAAGTTCATCATCTTTAAATTGTATTTCAGTAGCAGAACTGTCCTTCTGTGGAATGGTTTAAAAATCAAGGTAAGAGAGAAAAGCAACAAAAAAATGTTTCCAAAGTTTTGCTTTTCAGAGGCTTGCAAAAGACCACTGGAAGAGCTAAAAGACACACAATACAATATATGTTGTCAAAATTCTTTGAAGTCTAGCTGAAGAGATGCATTTTTTTGGTGGAAAGATCTCAGATATAATTTACATGTTCTAATTAAATTCCATAGTGACAGTAAAAGGAAGGTAAGCATTACTTCACACATTTTGCTAATAGGAAAGGTGAAATATCGATGTGATATTGCTTGTCACACAGAAAGACAGTGGTAGCAGAAGTAATAGGAACACAGGGCTCTTGGTGCCAGAGGAGACTCCTTGTTCACAATTTGTGATTTCTAGCCAACAATAAGCTTTGCCCTAGATAATTTCAAGGCATACAATTAAAAAAATTATTGCTCAATTTAAATTATAAGGAAAATGGCTGGTTATCTGGCAAGATGGAAGAGGATAGTACCCTTACTCAAAAATACTACTCCTTTATTATGATGAAATAGATGGTGATATCTTTTTCTTTTAAATTGTAGGCTCACTGTGGTGATGGTTACATAAAACATCTAGACATTGAACATCTCATACACACTGTTGTATCTGAATGCAATTACAGTTGGATGCACCTATTTACTTTACTTTTTTTACTTGGAATAATGTGCAGGTAAACTCATTCACATAAATGACTGTGAAAACAAAACAAAATAAAAGCAAATTGATATTATGTGCCCAAAGCATTGATACTGAAAAAGCCAGGGTAGGATTCCTGCCATTTCTCCTAACAGGCTGTATGGTCCAGTACTGGATCAAGTAGATACTACTTTTTCATATCTAAGTAAGAAGTGAGGTTCTTCATAAAGTCCCCGAGGCCCTGTCCAGATCCCAAAGCACCTTCTGAAGCAGAAAGAAAAGATTAGATTATGTTCGGTGTAGTTTTACTGTCAAGTATTTTTCACTGAATGTACATCCTTTGAAAACTGCTACCTCTGTACTGGCCAGAATATTTCATTAACCATAACATAATTCCTTCCTAGTCTATGCCAGAGAACAGAATATCAAGAAAATAAGAGGTTTGCTATTCTCTTTGCTGGCATGGGACCTTTTTCCAGTTGAGGAGCTGATGCTAGCTTTCCTAAAAGCTCAGAAAACCAAAGGGCCTTTACCTGTTGCATTCCTTGCAGGGCTTGCTGCAGGAGTTTCAGCTGCTGTTCCTTGTTTGGGTCGTCTTCTCTGGGGGCTTTGCCTTGTTCTTGCTTGAGCAATTCTACCTCATTCCGATAGGCATCGAGCTGCCAACGGAGGCTGTCATTTTCTTCCTTCAGAGCTTCTGCCTGTGATACTAAGGCTAAGCAATCAATATAAAGTCGAACATCCATCTATCCATACTCTTTGTGGTTCACCTTAGTACCATGAAAACTTGGTAGTTTTTAATTGACATGTATAGAAAGTCTCTCGAGCAACTTTAGGTTTGAGGTGGCCATGGCAGCAAGAGATGGACACAAAAGCACACAGAACCACTTTTGTAAAGGAACGCAGGATTCCAACACCCTGAAGTCATCATCACGCTTCATATTTGTCACCCCAAATATAACTCAGATATTCCCAGCTAACATTGGTCACTTTTATTTGGAAGGCAGCAAATGATAAGAGCTCTGTAATGATAAAGTGTAGGGCTAATTGTCTTGAACTGACGACTGTCCACACGATAATTGTGCAGGGCAGTTGTTTTTAAAAATGTAACGTTTACTGTCCTACAGAGGAAAGGTAAATGTAAAAATTAAGACACAAGACTTCTGGTTTCTGGTCTAGTGTGTAAGGAGTTTAGAAGTCACCACTCCATCCTAATGACAAATAAAAAGCTGAATAAACTGAAAAATCAGCAACTCATCTTAGATCCATAAGAGAAGTGAGGTCACAGGGCAAACTGCTGCCCCTGAAACTGGAGAGACAGGAGAATGCAGAGAATCACAACTTACCAGACCAGAAACCTATGAGCAGTAAGCTCCACAGGAACTGGTGGCAAGTAAAAAAATCTAAATTGTAATTGGCTAATTGCTGGAGGCTCAGCGTGGGCAAGTCTGAGGTTTAAAAAGTCCAGAGGGACCCACTCATAGTGAAGTCTCTATCCTTTTGTGCGTTTTATCTCCAGGAGCATAACCATGTCCTTACAGTGAATATTGGAGAAAAATCCCCTTGTGCTTCCATCATGGGGAGGGGAAAAGAAACCATTTTGAAATACACCAGAGCACTCTGTTCTTCTCAACAAGGCCTGCCATCAGAAGAAACTATTTTACCAGAGCCTAACCTGCTAGGGTATTACCAGAGTCTAATTGACCAGGAGAAGGGAAATACCCAAGTATAGCTCCCCCCAGCCATCCTGCCCCAAGTAAGTTTTTTCTCAGAAAAAACTGAGAAACACTTGTGAAATCACAGGCCAGAGGTAAATGCTCACTAAAAGACTGAGACCTAATCACAGGACTAGAGAATGCTTCCCCACACTTAACTACCACACCACTAAAGTCCTATTTACTGGAGTTCTTTTCACCCAGCACATCATGTCCAGATTTCAACAAAAGATTACAAGGCGTACTAAAAGGTAAACAAACACAGTTTAAAGAGACTGAATGGGGATCAGAACAAGAGTCAGATATGGCATGAATGTTGGAATTATCAGACCAGGAATATAAAACAGCTGTGATTAGTATGCTAAGAGCTTTAATGGGAAAAGTAGATACCATCAAAGAACAGATGAATAATGTAAACAGAGAGATGGAAGTTCTAAGGAAGAATCAAATAGATATGCCAGAGATAAAAAATAATACTGTAACAGAACTGAAAAATGCCTTGGATGGGCTTATTAAAAGACTTGACATGGCTGAGAGAAGAATCTCTGAGCTTGAGGGTATGACAATAGAAACTGCCTAACCTGAAAAGCAAAGAGAAAAAAGCATAAAAAAAAACCCCAAGCAGAATATCCAAGAACTATGGGACAACCACAAAAGATACATGTTGTAAGAATATTAGAAGGGAAAGAAAGAGAGAAAGGAACAGAAGCAATAGGTGAAGCAATAATGGCTGAACTTTTCCCCCAAATTATTATCAGACACCAAACAACAGAGCCAGGAAGTTTAGAGAAATCAAACAGGATAAATGCCAAAAAATTAGACCTGAAAAGACACCTCACCAAAGATATATCAATGGCAAGTAAGCACCATCATATGTCATACATCATTAGGGAATTACAAATTAAAAGACAATGAGATACCACTACACACCTATTAGAATGGCCAAAATCCAAAACAATGACAACACCAAGTGCTGGCAAGGACGTGGAGCAAACAGAAATTCTCCTTCATTGCTGGTGGGAATGCAAAATGTTACTGGCACTTTGGAAGATACTATGGCAATTTCTTATAAAACTAAACATACTCTTACCATATAATCCAGCAGTCATGCTCCCTCATATTTACCCAAGTGAACTGAAAACTTATGTCCCCACAAAAATATGCACACGGATTTTATAGCAGATTTCTTCTGGCAATTTTATAACTGCCCCAACTTGGAAACAACTACAATGTTCTTTAGTAGATTAATGGGTAAACAAACTGTGGTACATCCAGAAATGGAATATTATTCAGTGCTAAAAAGGAATGAGTGATCAAGCCATGGAAAGACCTGGAGGAAATGTAAATGCATATTACTAAGTGAAAGAAGGCAATTGAAAAGGCTACATAATTGTATGATTCTAACTATATGGCATTCTGAAAAGGCAAAACAGTGGAGTCAGTAAAAATATTAAAAAAAAACAACCCTAACCTGGTTGCCAGGGGTTAGGAGGGAGGGAAGAATGAATAGGCAGAGCACAGAGGATTTTTAGGGCAGTGGAACTATTCTGTATGATACTATAATGGTAGATACATACATTTTAAACATTTGTCCGAACTCATAGAATGTACACCAAGAGTGAACTCTAATGCAAACTATGAACTTTGGGTGATAATGACGTATTCGCTGATTATAAACAATGTACCCCTGTGGTGCAGGATGTCAGTAGTGGTGGGGGACTATGTATGTGTGTGGAGACAGGGGTACTTGGAAACTCTTTACTTCTTGTTCAATATTGTTGTAAATCTAAGACTTCTCTAAAAAATTAATTTATTAATTAAAAAACCCCCTAAGACACAAGAGGAAAACTTGGTTAGCTTTATTTATGGTTATGGCACATTTTTCAAGGCCCAAAATCAGAAAAGCTATTATAAAATATTTAATCAGAGGATTTTCATTCATTCAACAAACCCCGAGTACCTTCCCTGTACCAGGCTTATGATAATGGTAAAAAATGAGATTCCACTAATCTCTGTGGTTCACAGTCCAAATTAATGGAAACATTTGTAGTTTATTCCTTTTTTGATTCCTAACACAGCATAAAGCCCAGAAAAGAGATGTTAGCAAAATGGATCAAAATTACAAACCTGTATATTAAATGTATAAGAATGTTAAATGGCAACTTGTCAAAGGTGTGAATTTTTTCAGCTACTTATGGGGGGGGGGACTTTGGGTAGAAGAAAGTAAACGAAAGTAATGGAAATCAAATCTTCAAGATTATTAGCTATAAGTGGTGGAAGAAGAGTTCTCTAAAGGTATTTCAAAGACAAGATTCATTCTCTACAATAAATGGAAAGAAGTTGTGCTTTACAAAGATGAAATATATAGAAGAAAACCATATTCTGAGGGAGAAAACACCCCATTCCTAAAAGAAAGCTGCTTTGCGGGGGGGTGTGGGGTTTAATTCTGCGCTTTCAACCTGAAGGTTTTCCTGAAACAATCAGGTACCAATGCAGGCTGATGTAATCAGATTGTCTATCCAAATTAGAGAGTGGCAATCCTTCCTATTACATGTTCTCTTGTTTTCTGTGAATGGCTATGCAATTATCCTGATACAGCAGTTTGAACATTGTATTTTAGTTTTTAAAAGAAATTACAAAAATCTTTGGCATGACACATTCATTGTATGTTTGGTTTTATTCTGTATTTTAATTTTTGCTGTAATCATAAAGCTTTTGTGTCTTTGAAGAGAAAGCTGTTAAACAGAGAGCTGAAGTCCCAGCACTGTAAATACTATCTATCCTTGCCATCTCTCCCAGCAGCTGGGATACCTGTCGTCGGACAGGCAGCATTCCTCACAATCACAGCACTAAAAGAAGATGCTAAAAGTGAAGATGACTGTATATAGGAAAGTGTATGGCAGAAGGGAAATGAGCTATCTGCCAAACGGGAAGAAATTATTTGATTTGCTTGTTGGGTCAGTACCAAGGATAGCATCTCGAGCTGGAGTTCGGTGAATAACACAGAGGTTCCTCTGTAAATCAAGTGACTGCTACAGATAGACAGTTATTCATTTCTGCTTTGGTTTGCATGTTTGTCTTCTGGCAAGGCATATGGCTCAATACTAAATAGTGATATTTCATCTTCCTCTTTTGTTTCTTCTTGTACTGCAGGCTAGTGATTATGCTCTTGTCTTATGAGTCATGTGGAGAAACGTGGAAAAGGGCAGAGATCTAGGAGAATGGTTAGAGGCATAGTCTCCAGTTTAAATGTGAAAATATTTTCCCTCTGAGCAAATGAGGAGGATAGACTACTTCTCTCCCGGGGGGAAAGGGCATGCTGATGAGCAGAGATAGATTCCTGCAGCCAAGTGCGAACAGATAATAATCTCCTCAGTTTGGACCTGTCACTAAGTAAAAGAGAATGTGATCTCCTCTAATGCCACCAGGGCACCTTACTTACGAAATGTATTTCCCACTCCCTGAAATGAGGGTTTTTGTCATTTTAATGAGGACACCAAGTCTTTACTTTCACAGACTTAATATTAATTGGGCCCATTTCTGAAGTTGGAGTTCTTTGTACATTGCCAGAACATTGAAAAGTTCAATACTACCTTTTAATAATATGTTTGAGTAGGTGAATCCATCAGTCCTGATACTAAAGAGCATAGTACAGTGAATTTATTCCTATCTTGCCATCATTAGTTCTCAGCTGCTCCTTTTTGACTATTTCCTATGTGGGAAAAACATTTCTCTTTATGGGGATGGCTCCTCAGATCTGAAGGCTGCCAGTTCATCATGGCAATATGAAAGTACGAAGGTAGCTGTGAACACCTCTTTTTAGAGAAGCTACTCAGAGCAAAATCCCAGATATGTTTTTCTATGACAAAAGATCTAAAAGGATTTTGTGCCATTAAAAAATTAATGCCTAAGTTTCTTCGGTGGTACAAAGAAAACAAAAATTTTTTTTTAAAGATTTTATTTATTTATTTGACAGAGAGAGACAGCGAGAGAGGGAACT